TCCGCTTCGTCCTCAGCGTCGTCGCCCTCACCGCCCTCCTCCGCTTCTTCTTCGTCCTTGCGCCGATTGTCTGCCACTGGCACACCAACTCCGTCCCGCACCACAACTCCGCGGCGGGGGTATGCCCTCAGGAGTCCCCGCTCGTGCCCTCCAAGAACGGCGCGCTCTGGGACGAGCTCACTGCCTCCCACGCAACCACCGCGTTCCGCGACCGTGCCGTCGCCCAACTGAGCGCCGCCGTCCAGATCCCGACCGAGACGTACGACGAGATGGGCCCCGTGGGCGAGGACGAGCGCTGGTTGTCCCGCGGCCCGTTCCTCGAGCATCTTGCTAGCGCGTTCCCGCTTGTGTGAGGACGATTCGAAGTCGCAATTGCGTCGTGGCCGTGGACATGGACTAACGGGGTGGGCAGGTCCGCGAACCTGCCGCTGCAGAGAGTGAACACGTACGGGCTTATGTACACCTGGCAAGGCAGTGACGCGAGTCTGAAGCCGATCCTGCTTATGGGACACTACGGTAGGACCGCGTTCGCGATCTTCACAGCTAACCTGCTGATACTTTCGTTTTGCACGCAGACGTCGTCCCCGTCGCTCCCCTCAGCGCCGACCAGTGGACCTTCCCCGCGTACTCAGGACACTTCGACGGTGCAGCTCTCTACTTCGTATTTTATCGTCACTCATACTTACATCTATGTATTCTGCAGGCGAGAACGTCTGGGGTCGCGGCAGCTCTGACGACAAAAGCGGAGTCATCGGTATCCTGTACGTCCCGTCCGTACTCTGCTCTTGCCTCGATTGATTGAATACGGCGTAGGACGACCATCGAGGTCCTCCTCGAGAAGGGATTCAAGCCGACGCGCACTGTCGTGCTCTCCTTTGGCTTCGACGAGGAGGCGGGAGGATACCACGTATGTCTTCTCTTCCCATTGCATCCTTCTCCACTCGACTTGTCGGCATCATGCTGACTGAAATATCAATACAGGGCGCTGGCCACCTCGGCCCTGCCCTCCTCAAGCGCTTCGGCCCAGACTCCTTCGCCTTAATCGTCGACGAGGGCTGTACGTCCTTCTGCTCCTCCTCCTCCCTCTACGTTTCCTGTTTTCTGAGTCTGACGGAGCCTCCATTCCACAGCTGGCTTGACCGACACATACGGCGCGACCTTCGCCTCGCCCGGCGTAGCAGAAAAGGGCTCCGTGAACGTGAACATCGAGATAAAGACCCCCGGTGGGCATTCTAGGTGGGTTTTCCTTCCTTTCCCTTCCTCCCCCCTTCCCTCCTTGACTCCTTTTCATCTTCCCTCGTCTTTCTTATTTATGTCGACCGGCTGACCGCTTCTCTTTACCCAGCGTCCCCCCCGCCCACACCTCCATCGGCATGCTCGCCGCCCTCATCGTGCACCTCGAAGCGCACGCCCCCGTCCCCACCCTCGACATCGACACCCCCGCTTTCGGCATAGCCGCCTGCCTCGCCGCGCACGCGCCCGCCATCCCGCGCAAGCTGCGCCGCGCCGTCCTTCGCGCCCCGAAGAGCGAGCGCGCAAGGAAGCAGGCGGAGAAGTTGTTGTTGGAAGACACGATGTTCCGCGCGCTGGTGGGGACGACGCAGGCGGTGGATATGGTTAGTGGGGGCGTGAAGAGCAATGCGTTGCCGGAGCAGGCGCTGGTACGTTTCTTTTTCTACAGGTCTTAACCCCCCACCCATCGTCTTTCTTTGTGAATGGCGCTGACGATTGGGTGTACTACACAGGCCGTGGTCAACCACCGCATCGCGACCCAAAGCTCCGTCAACGCCACCACCGCGCGTGACGCGCAACTCGTGCGCGACCTCGCAGCGCGCTTCAACCTCAGCGTCACCGCATACGGCGAGCAGCTCACCTCGGCGGCGGACGCAGCGGCGGCGTACGGGACCCTCGAGCTCAGCGCGCCGCGGACGCTGGAGCCCGCGCCGGTCACGCCGAGCAGCGGAAGCGCGTATGCGCTGCTGGCGGGGACGATTCGGGCGACGTTCCGGGCTGCGCGGAGCGGGAAAAGCAAGGGCGTCGAGGAGGAGAAGGAGGAGATATACGTCGCGCCGGGGGTGATGACCGCGAACACTGGTGCGTCCGTCTGCACCCGCGATATAGTAGGTTGACAGGTGAGAGTGAATGTTATCAGACACGCGCTTCACCTGGGAGCTGTCGAAGCACATCTTCCGCTACGGGCACGGGAGCGAGGGCCTGGGTAATATACATACTGTTGATGAGCGTGAGTGGCTTGTGGCTTGTCTCTTCCTCCTCTCCCTCTTCCTTTACCTCGACTCGACATTACTCTCTTCGATTTTCTTGTCGAGCTACGCTGACTCTGGCTGGTACGACTTGTAGATATCAAGGCGGACGCGTTCGTGGAGATGATCACGTTCTTTACGACGCTCATTTTGAATGCGGACGAGGCGACGGCGCTGTAGGGAACGTGCGAGAAGAGGCAAGGTGTTGTGGATGAGTGGTCAAGTTACTTAGCGGTATTTACCGCACGGTGTCGTCGAGACAAGAACTTGTCGCTGTATGTACTGTACGCTTTGGACACCCGAAGACCACTCGGAATGGCCAAGTAATTCCGCTCGGTCTTTTGCGATCCTTCGTAAGTCCTGCTTTGAGGGATCGAACAGCTTCTTCAAACCCGCGACCTCGACTCCGTGGTCGGTACCGAGTGTTATGTGGAGCGCAGACCTTTGTCAGATCGCTGTGGCCGCCGCAGCGTATCAATTGACTCGGAGAGGGTCATTGAGGTCGTGGCGACACGTATCCGATTTTTTTGGGGGGCTTGGTCCTTCAAAGTCGACACGTTTGAACATAGTTGTCTATATAAGAGCACCTTGGGAGACCTGCCATGAATTGACCCGTGGACGCGCAGAAGCAAGGAAGATACAACACCACATGACCGCGATTGGCGAGGATTGGGTGATCGTGTTTGTCACTACTTTTTTGCTTTCTCCCAAAACCTTCCCTGTGAGCGAGTTCACGATGGCTGGCGCGCGCGGCTCCCCACCAGATCTCCCGGCCGAACTCTGGATGTACATTCATCGCCTGGCCTTGTCGGATATTTCGCCGCTGGCTAAACTGCACGCCCAGGACGAAACTATCAGGTACAACGGGCCAGAGCATCCCATGAGCGACAAAAACTTGAAGCCTTTCTTCAAGGTAGATCTGCAGCAACTTGGCCGGTTGGCTTTCTTCTAATTGTCGATTTAGGCCGCGCGTTCCCTCCAGCGTGTTTGTCGGCTATGGGCCAAGCTCGCGCAAGACTTGTTGTACGAAAACATCAGGGTAAATGAGACGAGACGCTGGCCCTCGCTATCAAATGCCCTCTTGCAGCCAGAAATCGCGATCCTGGTGCGCAACGTGCGCCTTTCTCCGACGCGCTTCGACCACAATGAGTTCATGCTGCGACACTGCGGCCCTCACATCAACGTCCTCGTCCAGCCAGAGTTTCCGCGGTCCGAGCGCCTCTACACCGCTACCTTGCACACCCCACTCCCGCCTCTACTATCCCTCACGCGCGTGTACTGGATCGAGTCCGCCTGGTCAGCGCCCCTATTGCGCGCCGTCCTCGCCGCTGCGCCCAATATACAGCACCTCTCGCTCTCCAGCTCCCCCAGCATCGGCACCGGCCTCTCCGCTGCTACTCTGCCCGTTTTTCCGCCCTTACCCCGTCTGCAATCCCTCGTCCTCCTCCCGCTCACACCCTCCTGCGTGTACGCCATCCTGCACGCCACCAACCTCGCCCAGCTCACGCACCTCACCATCGCGCCCGTGCACCTCGAATGGCCAGCCTTCCCCGTCCTCCCCGCGCTGCGCGCCCTCACTCTCTTCGACGACCGCGCCCCCGCCCCCCTCCCTTTCCCCCCCGCCCCGCCCCCGCGCGTCCCCTTCCCCGCCATCCTCGCTCTCCTCCCCGCCCTCGCCGCGCTGCACTACTCCCCCGCGCGCCTCTCCGCCACCGACGCGCCGCCCCCGCCCGACGCGCGCGCGCCCGCGCTCACGTGCGTGCACCTGTACCTCGGCGCGGAGTGGCTCGCCGGGGAGGCGCTGGGGCGCCTCAGGGCGCACGCGGCGGCGCTGTGCGGCGCGGCGTTTGGGGCGCTGGAGCGCGTGGTGCTGGATGGGCCCGGGTGGGTCGCGGGCGCGGGGCCGTGCGCGGGGTGGGAGGAATGGGCGGAGTGGAGGGATTTGAATGGGAGGGGGTGTGGGGTGGTGGTTGGGGAGAGATAGGGGGGAGAGGGGACACTCGATGCTTGTCGTTGACGGGACGTCGAAAAGAGGGAGCCTTGCGCGGACATGGCTGGCCGCGGCTACTGGCTTCGGCCTCGGCTCGCGCCGGGGAGGGCAAGCGCGAAGCAGAGCGGGCATCGCTAGACATAATAGTAACCCAATGCAAGGGCGCGATCGCAACGTGCTTGTTTCTGCAGCGCTCAGATATCCGTGTCGGGAGGCTTCTGTTTCTTCATCTAGAATCTAGATCTCTCTACCCTGGACCTTGGACGTCCCTTTCCAATGTCATCGCCTACTTATTACTCATATTATTGGCTGCGAACCTTCGTTTCGATCCCAAAACACAAGAATGAAGAAGAAAGAAAGGATGGACAAGGAGAAGCAACAGAACCATAAATTCCTTTTGGACACAGGTGAACAAACGGGAAACGGGAAAGAAAAAATAGGACGAAATTATGGCGGCATTCAGACGCGGGGGATCGAACCCCGGAACTCGCCGGACCGTGGCACAGCCAGCACATAATGGGGGCGAGGGTGTACCTTACACCACATCTAATTAGAGGACCAATATCTATGTAGCATAACCAGAGCTCAAGAAGAATTTACAATGCGAGAACAACTGAATTATTCAGGCGCCGGGATGCCGGATACTTACAAGAAGACCCACGTCCGATTGAATTACTTACGAAGTGTCCACCGCAACATTTGTACGCGGGAAGGCAAGAAGAAAAAAACACGTCGGGATTGCCTGGTCATTCAGACGCGGGGAATCGAACCCCGGGAACTCGCCAAATCTCGTGGCGCAATGATCGAGTACATAATGAAGGCGAGGGTGTACCTTACACCACGTCTGATTAGCAGACCTATATTTATGCAGCATAACCTCGTACCAGCCTAAGGGGAGCGCACTTAAGAAGAAATAACTCGCGAGAACGAGTGGGAGTTGCAACGTTCGCTGGACACGGGAATAATGAAAGCGAGGGTGTCGTCTGATTGGACGCTGTGGATCTACGGAGGGTTGCACCGTGACAAAGCGGGAGGGCAAGAAGAAAAAGCATGTTAGACTCGAACATTCAGACGCCGGGAATCGAACCCCGGGAACTCGCCGAAGTTCGGGAGCATATCAATGAAGGCGAGGGTGTACCTTACACCACGTCTGATTGAGGTGTATATTTCAACACCCGAGATATGGGCTTTGCTGTTGGAGTCCCCACCGAATACTATGGCGTCGTGTATTTAATATGCATGCGAGCAAGCTCAATTTCTTGAGGATCAGGCCTCCAGGCACTGTACATTGAGCTTGAACCAGCTATAAGTGAGAAATGGTTGAACCAGAAATATGCCCTCGATGTCATGGATAGGCTTCCCTTAATTTATCAATCTCTCACTGGCTTAGACCTTTGTTTCCAGCCCCATCGCGTACCTATGTTGTTGTTACTATTGTTACTATTGTGAACACCGCCTATATCAAGTCCATGACTGAAGTAGTAAACTACCCGGCGGGCCATAGGTACAATTGTAAAACAGAAACGCAGAATAAATAGAAACAAAAACGGAAAATAAATGCTAGTACCACGTGCTCGTGCGATCATCCATCGAAAAAATCCATCGAAATCGACGAGGGCGCGGCGGGAGGGGGCGCGAGCTTCAGAGGGGCATGAAGCAGGGTCGAAGACAGCGATAATATCTCGTGGAGGGTGTGGGAGTGATTAGCGGCTGCCCGAGCGCGACAGAGGCTGGATGCGCGCTGGATGTCATGGATGTCATGAGCGATGGAGGTGAGAGCGGCGAATGGGATGAGGGTGGTGGAGTTAAGAAAGAGTATGAGGCGCATGTTAAGCTGCTGTAGGCGTTTTTCGATGAAATCAAGCCGTTTTGACAGCGCGATATGGGCCCGAATGGATCTGCTGCCGATTCGGTAACGGGCGCAGGCGGCACGGGATGTGAGCGTGGGCCGCTGTGATCGTATGGCGTGGAATCTGCAAGCGCGGGCGGCGCGGGGATCAAAGCGTGGCTGGAATGGGCATGGGGGTGATGGGTTTTTGTCGGTAATCATTGTATGGGGGTGCCGAAACCTCGTCTATGGCGGCAGACGGTCCTGGGCAGATGGCCTACAGCGGCGATTGAGTGCCCGATGCTCGATGCGGCCGGAACGACGACAATCCACCTAGGGTGATGGTGGTAGTGGTTGTTGTTGTTGTTGTTGTTGTTGTTGTTAAGTTGTCCAGTTCAGAGGTTCGTTTCATCTCGGAAATCGACAACGAATGAATGAGAAGAAGCTTAAGAAACAGTAAGGGCAAATTCCGTCGACACGCAAATTCTGTTGATACGTGACAGACGAATAAAAGCGAAAGAAATAGAACGGGACAGAAAGATCAAAAACGAGACAGAAAATTTTTCAAAAAACTTGTCGAAGGCAACGCGGAGCACTCAGACATGGGGAGTCGAACCCCGGACATTTGCTGCATTTTTAAGTGCCATGTCTGCACTCAAGACGAGGGTGTACCGTACACCACGTCTGATTAGAGGACCTATATCTACGCAGCATAGCCTCGAGCCAGGGGAGCACAGGAAGAAATTGCTTGCGAGAATAACTGGATTCAGGCGCCGGTGGTTGCGACGCTCGGTGGACATGAGAAGAATGAAAACGAGGGTGAGGGTGCGCCCCACCCACGTCTGATTTATTACAGAGACTATCGCAGTGGATCTGCAATAGTCTCTGTAACAGAACCGATATCCTAGTGACGATCAAGATGTACTAGTATATAGATCTGCGAAGGTTTTCACCACAACCTTTGTACTCAAGAAGAAAAGGCATGTCAAGATCCCGTGGATCAAGTTCAGACGTGAGGAATCGAAGCCCGGACGCTTTCCGCATCTCCATTAACGGGTGTACGTCACACCATGTCCGACTGGAGTACATATTTCAACACCCGACTCGTGGGCTTTGTTGTTGGAGTCCCTACCAAATACTATTGGCGCCATATACGCTGGCGCATGCCGTGTCCAACAAGGTTCTTGAGGATCAGGCCTCCAGGTACTGTACATCAAAGTTGAACCAGAGGTGAGAAATGGTTGAATCAGGAATATGCCCTCGATGGATAGGGAGAACCAGAACAGGATTTTATTGTCGCCGAGTTACATCCAATACAAATTTAGTCTGGTCCTCTCAGGGAGTCTCCAAAAACGATCTGGTGGCCGGTGTTTTCTCTGAATCCATCACTGTAAAAGTCACCCAGTTCGCCTGAGCATTTCGGGTCGCATCCCTCGGTGTAAGTGACCACGAAGGTAAGGCCGGATTCACCCTTGAGCTCAACTTCGTTGCCGGGCCAGTGCACGCAGAAAGTGCACCTCATTGCACAATCGCTGTAAGGCACCGCGGGGTCGTAGAGGTCACCCATCCGCAGCAACAAACCATTTACCACCGCTTGTCGGTGTGCATCGTACTGCCCAAAGCACGTTTCTTCGAGGACCAGTGTCTGCACAGGGGACTACTTGACAAGCATGCGCCGCCAGCTCACGTCCTCCCGCTTGAACACATCGGGCACTTTGGACCAGGGTATGGCTCTGATAGCGCGTGCGGTGCCGGGCCATTTCCAGGTATTCTCGTCGTGTGGACCCGGAGTGACGAAGGGAGGGAATATTTCATCCAACAGCGAGTTCTGCAGGGGCGTAGACAAGGTGTCTGGTTGGAAGAAGAGGGCACATTACAGAGCAGGAGTGAGTGTGAGGGCCAGCGACGTTTTGCTGACGAGCGGTGTGGTGATGAGAAGATCCCGTGTGGGTACACCCCCATTTGGGTGAAACATTTCCGAAACAAATTCCACAATTTTTTTTTGAACATAACCACAAATGTATGAAATCTGTCAGTCCAATGTCTAAACAACATTTCTAACAGAATTTTTAGACAATGCAGCGCCAATATTGTGCAATGGCTGTCTGCAGCCTGGAAATATATGTGTCTAGATATCCGTCAAATATCTACTTGTAACTTCAAATTACTTGACTGGTCAACTTGCGCGCTGGGCGACACCTGCAGCCTTGTCAGCCTTGTACTGCTTATTCCTGGCCTTTGTTGCCTGACCTCTGGCAGCAGCGAGAGCTCACTTTTCCGGTCCAACTGCTCGTAAGGCAGCCGCAAATTCAAAGTGCTTGGCGCAACGGTCTAAAAAAAGCTGTCTTGGTGCTGTGAGGTGGCGGGGTAGTGTCTCTCGGATGAGATGAGCATTATGAAGTGCATGCATGTTGATCAGGAAACGGGAATTGTCGGAGTGAGAGCTGATTTTCTGTGTTAATTTTGATTGAGAATGTTCTTGTCGTGGCCCCGCAGATTCTACGAGACAACACAAAAAACGTTGACAACCATGCTGGGCATTGAATTTGAACAAGAGGTCCTGGTGCATGAAACATGAGAATAAGAATCATTGAAATTTGGTGCAGTGAAGGTACATACCTCTGGTTTGATGAGAACTGCTTGGTTCGTGGCCATTAGCACTGGCATGTCCAGCCGATCATCTCTGGTATCCAAAACTAGATATTTGTACACAACTACCACTGCATTGGTGGTGGAACTAGATGCATCAGGTACCAGGATCTTGGCAATGCGACCTGCCGTTACCTGTGTTGGCCAACCATCTTAAAAATGAGGAAATTCAACAATGTTGTATGCACATACCTCACCCGCGGAATTAGCAAAGAATATCCAAGAACCAGTAGGCAGAGATCTTCAGAGGCTGTAAGTACATGTGAATAGACTTCGATTCACCTGGTTTAAAGACATTTTGAGCAGTACAGCCCAAGCAGCGCTGCAATTGCTTGTTGCCAACCAAAAAACCTCGTATTTTGTGCCCTCCATGAGTCCAATCACCGCCATCGGGTTTCCACCAGCCGCCGCTAACCTGGTGCTTGAATCGCTCCATGTCAGCCAGGGTAGTTGCAATATTAAGGCTTGGTGCTTGATGGTTCAAAAGAACACTACAAAGCCGAAACACAGAGTTCCAACACTCAAAGATTTCCGTCTGGAAGAGGATTGATGGCCCAAACCGACGCACAGCCTCTGGAATCTGAGGCAGGACATGCAACCCGCACTTCTGTGTGATCCGTATTGGATCCACTATCGCCCAGTGGTTGATAACATTGCCAATTGCAATGGAGAGATCAGCCTTCAAGCGGTGAGAAATGATAGGACAGACGCAGCACAGGTCACTCACGAGATACTGATCCATATCCTTAATTTCAGGGTACCACAGCAGCACACCAAGAACACCATTTGCCTTCCAGAGTTCCAACAGAGCAGGTGAGCACAGTGTCTCATCAAACTGTTGAAGGGCCTTGTAATGTTTACCAATCAATGACTTCTTGTACTGAACCATGTAGTGAGATCGAAGTGGTGGAAGACTCAATCCATCGATAGAGGAGGACTGGAGCCATGCTGCAAACAGTGCACCCTGTTCATCATTCCAGACTTTGCTTGTCTCGTGCCAAGCATACTTATCCTCCCCAAGCATACTTATCCTCCCCAAGAAGAATTGTGTGTAGGATCTCGCAGGGGCTGTCACAATGCGGGTCAAGACCACGGACACGAAGGAGAACATTGTAATGATCCCTGGGGTGTAGTTCGGGAGTCTCTTCTGAGGAAGAATCAGTATGGTTTCAATGAAATAAGGACACAAATCCATACTTGTAAGATCATCCAATTCCGCATATCGGTCGGGAGGTTGAATGATTACCCAAGCGAACAGTTCCTCTTGGGTCTTGTCAATAATCTCCTGTTTGATCTTTTCCTGAGCAGGCCCTTTGATTTTGCTGTCATTGAGCCTCGTATCTCTGGTATCATGATTAAACACCCGCTCTT